TTTTTAGACGATAAGCATTATTTCTAGTAAAATGCTATTATTGAAAGACTGTTATTACAACAAACTAATTATGCATGGCTTGTTACTTAATATTATCAAGAGTATGTATATGTACTTTTGATATTAGAGTGCTTCTGATCATTAACTCTAATATCAAGAGTGCATAATTATTTATCTAGATATGCCTAATATCTGCATGATGATTAACTTTTATGATTTTAGTACCCAGAACTAGTCCCAAAACCAAGAGTACATAATATTGCAACAATAGACACTAAGACACTCATCAGGATAAATTATATACAATAATAGCAATAGTAAGTACTTAAAAATCATATCTATACATTACTCATGTGTGTCCTGTTATCTGTTGTGATAGATCCCCCACATTAATTGCATTTCTGCGTAATAGACTATGGGCATTCTTTCCAAGAGATATGGCAAGTTAAGTACTGGTGTGTACTCACAAATGTGTATAGTATTAATTTGAAAGCTGAATTTTTACTATGATTTTACTGTCTTATTGTTATGCAGTTGTATGTCACCATGTGTTAGCTATCACATATGTCGTACAAGCTGTGATAGAGTCACTAAAATTGCAAAAGATCATAAATTCAGAGCCAAAGGCCTGAATGAACCTGATATCACTAGTGCAGTGATATAATGAAGGATGCTATTGATACAAATTATATACTATAATATAGCCCAAAAATTCTTTGGCCTTGACGAAACACATCTAATTAAAAATCATTAACTATCAGTGTGTGTATTTGTGTGTGTGTGTGTGAGGAGGAGAAAGATGTACAAGGTATGCATGTTAGTGGATAATTTTACGGCTACACATTTTATGTAGATTGGTTGCTTAAAAAGATGCAAGCATGCAGTGGCTAAAATTGTTTTAATAAGTTCCTACGAAGATTTAAAGTCATTAGTTGGCTCTACCTCCACTCTACTCTGTCTTGTATGAGGTGATAGTTAGGATAAGTATTAATACAAGTCTCTTTGTGTTGCTCGTCTAGTATAAATTTCCTTATCTTCTTATTATCCATTAGTGACTGGAAGGTGAGTAGTATTGACTCAGTAGACAATGAAGTCTTCCATAGATTTAGTTTAACTAGTGATGAGTTATTGAGGAGGAGGTGAGAAAGAGCCTGTCCACTAGTAGAAGTGATGAGAGGATTATCATAAAGATCTAATGAGGTAAGTATAGAGTTGTGTTCAAGTGCTTGACAGATATTAGTAACTCCTCTATCACTAATGGAGTGGCACATGATTTCTACTTCTTGTATTGTTTTATTATTAGTTAGTAGTATACACAAGTACTGGATACAATCATTAGTTAATGGAGTCCACCATATCACAAGACTCCTCAGGTTTAGTGTATGCAGTTTAGTTGATGATAGTAGAGATACTGTACTATTAGTAGATGACAAGTTAAGTTGAATCGCCTTATCAGTTTTACTAATCACTTCATTACACTGAGCTGGAGATGGAGAGGTAAGGCATACCCAGTCACTGTACCAGTCCACACTCCCAGTGACTCCTAATATAAACCAAAGGATTATTCTTATATACATGTATGTACATAATAATACACATATTCACATCATGTGTATATACAAACACACACAACTTGCTAGTTGTCACTACCACCAATAAACAAATACACACACACAATACATATGTACATACATACACACATGTACATACATACACACATGTACATACATACACACATGTAATGTGTACATATGTAGGGACAAGAATATAATGTATAGAATTACAT